AAATTTTATAAATCATTTTTCCAAACATCACACAACTGATTCTCATAACCACCCTGAATAGTTATTTTTATTATCCTCATTTTGAAAATGAAGAAACAAATTCAGTGGCTGTTTTGCCCCAAATTGCTCATTTCTAAGTAGAAGCTGGTGACTCTTTTGAAAGTCCTAAGTTTCATTTTTTACAAACCAGCCAACACTTTCTGGGCATGACTATTAACTGAAAGCACCTTTGGAACATTCTAAGCCTCCCAGAGTCACCTTCTTCCTGAATCTAAAAGTTCTCACCATGATCCTACTGCCCCATCCCACAGGAAGAATGATGGGTCCCTTCCCCAACTCACCTTCCATCTAGGGACTCCAACTATCCACCAGGGCAGGCTTTCTCCTAATACTACAGGCAGGGGAGTCTTAAGTTATCCCTAAAAGGGCTGCATGAGTCTCATACAGATAGCTAACAGAAAATCTGATCAGTTAATTTAAATACTTCAATTTTTTTTTTTCTTTTGAGACAGTGTCTTACTCTGTCACCCTTGGTAGAGAGCCGTAGCATCACAGTTCACAGCAACCTCAAACTCTTGGGCCTACGTGATTCTCTTGCCTCAGCCTCCCGCGTAACTCAGACTACAGGTGCCTGCCACAAGGGCCGGCTATTTTTTTGTTGTAGTTGTCATTGTTGTTTAGCGGGTCCAGGCTGGGCTTGAACCCGCCAGCCTTGGTGTATGTGGCTGATGCCTTACTCACTGGGCTATGGGCACTGAGCCTTAATTTTCAAATTTTATTTTGAAAACTATTTTAAATTCAAAGGCAGAATAATGTAAAAAATACTCATGTCCTCAATATCATCAAATGACCAATGTTGTAATTAAATGTCTATGCACTATTTTGGGGTTTTGCTTTAGAAGGTCAACTTTCTCACAGTTCACTCTTCTTAAATACTTCAGGCTAATTAAGGAGTAAGTGATTCTATACTTTGACTAAGATTTCTCATAGTTAATACACAAATGACTATATATGCCAAAATTATAATTACTTAGAAATCTGCCTTAAATATGTATGAAGATGCCAATTATGAGTTGCATTCAGGCCTGAGTCCCTGCCACCCCTTCCTCAATTATCAGTTCCTCCCATGTCACATCTGAAAACAGCACAATTAATGCCCTTCTTTCCTCTAATTTCCTTTCCATATGTTCACCAAGCAGTCTTTGGAATTTCAGTTCCATATCAGCATAGGGATATCTTGGCAGCAATCTTCATGGCAAGTATACCCACTCCTTCCTCACTATAAATTATGAAACTCTCCACAAATGTGTGGGGTTTTTTTTTTGTTTGTTTGTTTGTTTTTCAGTTTTTGGCCAGAGCTGGGTTTGAACCCACCACCTCCAGTATATGGGGCCTGGTGCCCTACTCCTTTGAGCCACAGGCGCTGCCCGAGGGTGTTGTTTTAATGAGTTTAGCCCCTATAAATCAATTGATCAGAGGTGGGACCACAACATTATAACATTAACATGAGAACTAGCCCACCAAGATACAGTACTTCGTAAGGACAAACCTAAAATAGCAGCCCAGTTATATTTAAACTCCTGGGTCTGTTAGTTAATCATACAATTTTAAATCAGCCCAATGCAAAACACTCCCCTTTCCTCTACCTGGCAATTCTCACCAACCTGAGTAGTGAACAGAAAACATGAGCCCATTAATCACCACAGGCCATCCCTAGGCACAGCGAAGCACACGCCGCAGCACAGCTATGATCAAATGTTGCGTTCTCTCATTTTAAACAAGGAATTGACTGTTCATAGTGATTATCTCTGAGGAGTGGGAGTCAGAATGACTTTCATTTTTATAGTTTATATACAGCACCATAGGCTGAATTTTCACAAAGAGCATGGAATTTATAATAAAGTATTTCCCTCTTAAGAAAAAAAAAGACATACGTAACTTTAAATTTGGCTCTCATGAACATGAAAACAAAGCATTTCACTATTTTATCATATGAGATACTGGCACAAGAAAATGTCAGGAGAAATCATTCTACAGAAACTAAAGTGACTTCTAAAGCAGATGTTTCTCAAATATACCTCATTTTTTTTAGAAGACAGATTATAGCTTAAAAATAAAAATCGATAGAAAATGTTTTGCATTTCTATCCCAAATAGTTTCCTCCCTTTTGGGCCAGAAGGTTAGTGCTTTTCCTGGCTAGAGAAGGGCAGGTCTGAAAGCAGGCACTTCTTTTCTCCTGCACATTAAAAAGGAAAATGGTACTGCAAAGAATATGGAGAGAGGCTGAGCCCAGCAAAAGAGAATGAGGAAACAGTACAAAAATTTAGCAGTGTTAAAGTGCAATCAAAACACAAAGTCAAGAGCAAATGGTTGTGACTGTCCTCCTGGCCTACTGAGGTCCTGGTTAAAGTACAGGCATTCTCTTTTCTGACAATGATGCACCAGTCTCCCTCCTTACCATCCAGCCCCCCACAGGCCATTATATTAGGGTGGGAAGAATAGAAAGGCTTCAGGAAAGACTGCTCGACCTCAGTTATTCAATATCATGAAACTGTGGTCTTAATGGAGAAATCCTGCTTTTAAAATGAGTATAAGACATAGCCAGGAGGCTCGGCGCCTGTGGCTCAAGCGGCTAAGGCGCCAGCCACATACACCTAAGGTGGCGGGTTCGA